ATGCCAGCTGAGTGAGAAAATGCCAGAGGCTCTGGGTGGGTGCCCCATCGTAAATGCACCAAACAATTCCTAAAGATTTTCCAAAACACTACTCTGTCGATAAATTGCAGCACTTTGAATTACCACCAGAGCTTTAAGAGCTCTCCAGCTGTCACCTGGAGACTGGCAACAGCTTGTTTGGAGGGTGGGGAGTATGGCATTGTATCTGTCTGAGGTCCCCCTCTTCCTCCTCCTCCTCCTCAGACCCCACCCTCAGCAGGCTTCATCCCTAAAATATCCTGGAATTTTCCAACCTGGAGTTGGCAACCCTATGTCCCCCCCAGCCTCTGCCTAGAGAAAGGGCAGTCTTTCCCTGCAGTGGGAACCAAAGCAGCTGTCATCATTCTCCTCTCCCCCTATGAGGTATGTTAAGGTTGAAAGTGTGTGAATGGTCCATAATCCCCCAGGCAACTTTTAAAACATGATCCTGGGACCTACACACCACCAGACATTCCAACTGCCTTGCGGCGGGGGGGGGGGAGTATGAGGTGTGGAATGGAGTGAAGTCCAATCAGCTTCCATATGCAAAAGACCTTGAAGGTTCCATATGCAACTGACATTCCAACTGCCTTGCGGGGAGGGGGGTGAGTTTGAGGTGTGGAATGCAGTGAAGTCCAATCAGCTTCCATATGCAAAAGACCTTGAAACGCTGGGCGGGGTGGTGTGGGCGGGACCAGGCTTTGGCTTCTTATTGGTCGGCAGATATGGTAAGTGGCAGTCCCACCGGCCTAACACTAAAGGGGCCAAATTTAGAATGTTGCGATATAGAACGTTGCTATTCAATTATAATAAGGGAGAGATATTACTAGAGCTATTGGGCAAAACTAAAACAAGTCTTGTAAAAACAATATCTTGGGAAGTATTTTTGCATTTATGTGTGTGTGTGTATGTCTGTGCCTGGAAGTCATGGTGACCTCTGGCAACTCCTACTGGGGCATGGAGGACATTCAGAAAAGTGGCTTCATAGCCTGCCTCTGCCTCCTGGCCCTGGTATTCCTTGGAGTTCTCCCTTCCAAGTACTCGCCAGGGTCAGCCCTGCTTAGCTTCTGAGATCTGACAAGACTGGGCTTGCCTGGGCTATCCAGGTCAGGGCTTTTGTAAAATTTATGACATGAAATGTAGCTTGGGTCCTCCCAGAGGATTTTCACATGTTTTGGGGTCCTTGTACAAGTGGAAGTGTGTGTGTGTGTGTGTGTTGGGGAACCCTGACCCTAACCCCTTGAGCTACATTACACATCATACATCTCAAAACATTTTTCTGCTTGCCCAAGATGTTGTCTAAGCAATATCTGGGCATGGTAAGATCAAGCGAAGAAAGTGCTCCCATGTTGCACAAGACTGCACTAAATCTGTTTACATGTCCACCTGTGCCTCACTGGATCCAAGCCATGAATAGGATTTCTAAAGGATACCTATAAGTGGTCATGTTCTAACTTCCACCTTTGCATCTCTCCCCACCCCAACTACTCTCTTTCAGTACTTTCACTGGCTCAACATTACCAACTTTTCAGATTTAAGGTAAAAGAAAGTCCCTCTAGTTACTATTTCCACTAGAGGGGGGGAGGGGGCAAGGAAGGAAGTAGGAAGTTCTTGCCTCCTGAAAAGGAGAACATTCCTGAACATAACAGTAGCCATTTATGCTTACTCACTTCTGACACTAGCAATTCACGCTTCTTAAAAATACAGAGAGTCCAGCGCTAAAACAGAGGATTAAGGAAACTAACTTGGAGACTTTGGGGGTGGATCCAGGAGAGGGTGGAAAATACCTGGAGACTTTGGGGGTGGATCCAGGAGAGGGTGGGGTTTGGGGAGGGGCCTCCGCACGGTATAATGCCATAGAATCTACCCTTTGAAGAATCATTTTCTCCAGGGGAGCTGATCTCTATCAGCTGGAGATCAGTTGTAAAATTGGGAGATCTCCAGGCCCCACCTGGATCCTGGCAACCCTAGTTATGAGGAATTGGTGAGTTTTTCAGTGGTTTCTTTGAAGTCCCATTAGGATCTATGACAGCCCCACCTAGAAAAGCTGGCTAATACAGTCCAGGCTACCCCCAGGTACAAAAACGTTTCATACAGCTGATTTTGGCAACCAACCACGTGTAACAGGAATGCATGCTGCTTGCTGCTCCGTGAGCCTCTCGATATGTGCAGTCACCATTTTGTGCAAATACAATACTGAGCCTATTTGTTTCCATGCATGCACAGCCTCGTCATATATGAATGCATGCCCTCCAAAACACAAGAAAACTGTGTTGCTTCTTCACACAAAATGACAATCATGACTTTCAGGAAGATTGTGAGTAACACACACCCTTGTCATAGGTGGTTCATCTGCCAAATTTGAACATCTGAGAAAAACCTCAATATTTTCATCCCCTTAGGTAATTTGGTGTTTACTGTCATCTCAGCTCCCATGGTAGCTAAATCCGAAACAAGTAGCCCTGTCGCAACAAACATTTTTTTAAGACTGCCATTGCTTTCCTTTCTGTGAAGAAATAGAGAATATAGCCTTCTTTGGACAGAACAATCAACACTCACGCTGTAATACAAAACTCTGTCTATACAAGTCATACAACAGTATTTGCATTATTGAGCTCCTTCGAACAGGCAGTTGTATCCCGGCACTCTTTCACACCCACATCTTACTTAAACAACTGCTTCGCGTGCACCTGTAGTATGCCAGCAAGCCACAGCCCAGGCAGGCATCTGTGGTGATAATGCACCCATAGCAGTACAACTGGTAGTGAGATCCTGAGCATGCGCAAGATCATCTGACCTGCCAGCATCACATCAATGGCACGGCCAGGTTACGAGATCATCTTTGGCACTTTGGAAAAATTTTATAAGAAATTTAAGACATGATCGGGTTTCTTTTCTTTGACTGACACCTGGATTGATGTATTTGTGCAGGAATTCCGTTAACTGTTTTGTCATTCTCAGGGCTTTGCGCTGAATGGTTTTCATTGCAAGTTTTCTCTTCATTTTAATGATTTTTCTAAAGGTTATGTATTTAACATGCTATTACTAATGATGGGAGAGGAGGCAGCATGGTATAGCCTGATCTTGTCAGAGCTCAGAAGGTAAGCACGGCCATTACTTGGATGGGAGACGGCCAAGAAGACTCTGCAGAGGAAGGCAATGGCAAACCAACCCTGCTCCTCACAAGTCTTGAAAGCTCCTCGCTGGGGCCGCTAGAAGTCCACTGCCATGACAACACTTATGTACGCATTGCTAATGATGTCAGGAGCTGCTTCTAGCTTTCTTAAAAAGAATGTAGCCAATACCTACCGTTAAATGTATTTTGTTTTTAGAGGCCTTTGATCTCTCAGCTTCTATCTGGTCTGAAGCCAGAAAATTCTATTTGTACTCGCCAAAAGATTCACACAGGATGCTGGAAGTCTTTCAAGCACACAAGTACTATGGACTGCTATAAATCAAACTTTGCTTTTGGCTGACAACTGCATAAAATAGGGGATACCGGATTGCTTGCCAGAGAGAAAGCGTTCTAGCTGCTCGTGTACAGGATGCTATTCCTATCTAGAGGCAATTAAATGGATGATTGAGAAACACTTGCGGGGAAGTCGCTGAACTCTGAAGATAAGAAAGAGCAGAGAAACGCACAGGGCAAGCAGTGATGTGGGGGAAGCAATCCCACACATTCACCTCTCTCCATATGTCCTGGAAAGCGCATTATGATCTGGAAATAAGAACCTCCTGGTGGTCCCCAGCCAGAAGGAGATCCGGCTGTCCTCGACCAGGGCCTTTTCAGCCCTGGCCCCTACCTGGTGGAACTCTCTGCCTGAGGACATCCGTGCCCTGCGGGATCTGTTACCGTTCTGTAGGGCTTGCAAGGCAGAGATGTTCTGCCAGGCATTTGGTTGAGGAGAGTGACGGCCTAGCACTCTCAACCCACCCCCCGGTTCTGTATTTTACTTAACCTAGGCCAGGGGGTAAGCGGGTATTAGAAATTTATTTCCATCTGGGATTGTACTGTTTTATTGTGGCTGTTGATTTTTAATACTGTTTTAAGTGTAGTATTATTGTATTTTTACTGATATAAGCCACCCTGAGCCCTGCTTGCAGGGAAGGGCAGCCTAACAGGTTTTAATTAATTAATTAATTAATTAATTGCAGGGGGGGAACAGCCTACACAGGGCTGCCATTTTGAGCAGCATCCCTGCGTCATTCATCACATGGACTTCTGCCCTGTGCCTCATGGCTGGGCAGGTCTTTGAGCCCAGATTTTTCCTGACAGAGAGCAACACACTCCCTTATACCACTAACAGCTCTGGGTTGGGGTGCTCCTGGGGATTTAGGGGTAGAGTCTGGGGAAGGCAGGGTTTTGGGGTGGGAGGGCATAATGCCACACAGGCCACCCTCCAAAGCAGCCATTTTCTCCTGGGGAACTGATCTCTGCCATCTGGAGATCAGCTGTAATTCTGGGAAACCCTCCCAATCCACCTCCTGGCTAGTAACCATACACAGCACTGGCTTGAACATAAAAAGTGATTTCCTACACAGAGGATTCCTTATTGGCAGGGCTCTTCTTGTAGCAGGAACTCCTCTGCATATTAGGCGACACACCCCTAATGTAGCCAATCCTCCACAAGTTGACAGAGCTCTTCTTACAGGGGTGACTGTAAGATCTTGGAGGTTTGGTTACATTAGGGGTGTGTCGCCTAATATGCAAAGGAGTTCCTGCTACAAAAAGAGCCCTGCATTGGGCAATGGAAACAGGAAGATGTGGAAACACACACAACACTAGCACCACCACCACCACGGCCTCCAGCCACAGATTAGTTAGCCAAGCCAGTTAGTTGTTGGGGAGGGGGGTAGATTCTGTAGATGAAATGTCCCCCTGGCCATGGAAGTATCATCAAAAAGAGCAAGGTGAGAAGGCAGAGTGGGGTCTGGGCACCAGGAATGATGGCGGTCTCCAAGGGCCACTGGTGCATGTACAAGGCTGTTGGGTTCCCCTCCCCCATAATATTCAGGGTCATCAAATACATATTCGGGACAGAAAGAAGAAACTATTTCCTTCACACAACACCTCATTAGCTTGCAAGGGTCACAGCCTCAAGACACAAAAATGGCCACTGGGATGGAGCCATGGTTCTATGACAGAGCATCTGTTCGCAAGCATGGAAGTCTCAGGTTCAACCTCCATTACCTCCAGTTAGGGCCACGGTAAATGATGCAGAAGATCTCTACCCAGACCCTGGAGAGCTCCTGTCTGCCAGGGCAGGCAAAACCAACCTTCCTAGACCAAAGGTCCAACTCAGCAGAAGACAGCTTCATGTGCTTATATGGCTTCCAAAGGGGATGAGACAAACCCACGGAGGAGGAGAAACTGAACAGTGGCTACTGGTCATGATGGCTATATAGATGCCTCAGAGTCAGAGCCCCAGATCCATTGTACTAATTATCCTGCAGTGGAAGGAGTGTTCCCAGTTCTTGCGTTAGAGAAGGCTCTTTCCACTGGTAGAGTATGCCTCAGACACAGAAGGCTGGATCCCCAAGTCTATTCCACTGACAGGAGGACTTTCCTCCAGAGGAAGGAGCCTTGCTTTGATGCAAGAACATCCGGATGCACAAACTACCAGTTGGCGGGGGGACAACAGCAAGGGAACACGAGCCCATTGGTGTATTTTCTAGGGCCCTTCAGTTATCCACTGTGGGGAAGAGGGTGCCGGACTCAGCGTAGCTTTGTTCCCATCTGAGCTTATGGGTCAGGCCCCTGTTTTGCAGAATTTACTCTGGGCCTAGAATCAGAAGATACTTGGTATCAAAGAGAGAGCTCCCAAGATTCTTGGTAGAGGGGTTGGAGGGAGGAAAAGCAAGTTAGAGTAGCTAAGTTTACCTGTCAGAGAATAAATGAGCAAGCAGAACAGCATGGACACCACAGATACCAGAACCCAGTGAGAGAGCTTCTTGTTCTTCATGCTGCTGTAGATGGCAATGCAAGCCTCGTGGCACTGGAAGACAGAGAACACTCCAATGAAGGAGGGGCTGTGGCTCAGTGGAAGTGTCTCTGCTTTGCATGCAGAAGCTCCCAGGTTCAATCCCCGGCATCTCCAGTTAAAAAGACCAGGTAGGAGGTGATGTGAAAGACCTCAGCCTGAGACCCTGGAGAGCTGCTGCCAGTCTGAGCAGACAATACCAATCCTGATGGACCAACAGTCTCCTAGACTATAAGGCAGCTTCATGTGTGTTCATGAGGCATTAACCTTCCCTGGCTTCAAGGCTCCTACAGCATGATCCCTATTTCCAGCTCTGTCCCAACAGATACAATTAACAGTTTCACTGATAAAGCGAACACTATGGGGAGCAACAGGCAGCCTCCTTTTGCCTTTTTAATGACAACATTTTCCCCTATCTGGGCAGGATCTACCAAGTTTAATTGCTCCCTTAGCAACAGTAGTCTTTTATATATAATATCATTAAATATTCTTTGGCATCTAAGTTCTAGCTTATGACCTGAATCTTACTTAAAAAGGAAAGAAACCGTCTCCTTCTAAGAAGAAACTTCAGAGGCTTCCCATATGTCCGTCCAGCTCCTCCCACCCTCTTCCAAAAGGAGCTCAAAAAGGAGAGTGGACAGAAAAGGTGAGAGCCAGATCCTCATCAGAGAAAGAGAAACTTTAGCCCATTACCTGGAATCCAAAGCAGATTGTCGGGACAACACTGAACACGGAAGCCCAGGAAGAAACCCTATAAAATTGGAAAGGGGTAAAGGAAGAGGAACGTCAAGTGAGATATGAGAAGCAAGCCAACATCAAGTGAGATATGAGAAACAAACCAAGACAGTGTTATACAAAGCAGATACACACCACATGAAATGCAGCCTGAAGACAAAGAATACTTCAACTGGGGGGAGGGGACTAGATAGCCAGACTACACCTTTTAGAGCAGAGATACCCAGTGGTTCAGGAGCCACATGTAGCTCTTTGACATGTCACCTGTGGCTCTTTGAAGCCCTATTCCCCAGTGTTGCAGCTGTCCCACGATTCAGGAAAACAGGCAAAGCCTTTCCCTAGTAGAGCTTCTGGTTGGCAGGTGGCTCCCACCTTGATGTAGCCACCACCAGAGAAACAGGTAAGCTACAAGCCTCCCTGAGGTACAGATTGCCTCAAGTCAGCCATGGAAGTCATGTGGGTCTCTGTGAGCTGCTGAGTGAGTACCAGTACCTTGGAGGTTCTATAAGGAGATGTACTTTGGTGACCCTTTCCTAGTTCTAAAGCCAGTGGGCCATTCACTTGATAAAAATGGTTATCTGTAGAAGCAGTCTTAAAATAAGTTTAAGACCCCTACCACACTCATTCCTGTGAATGTTTATTCAGACAGAAGTTCACTAAGCTTTGCTCAAAAATACACAGGACTGTAACCTATTTCTCCACAACTATCAAGGCCTGGAAATTGTAGTTGAGAAAATGATAGATCCCCTCAGCAACATCATGACAAGCCAAGATGGCGGAGAGGGGAGAGGGAACAGAGAAAGACATGCCAGATGACACTAGTTTGGGGCATGTGGTATCACATCTGACAATGGCTTGAGTTAATGGCACCGCCCAAACCAAGTTTTAGCATTACTTACATCTGCAACTAAATACAGGTCTACTGTGAAATGGAAACAAGAGTCAATGGCACCTTAACATAAGAACATAAGAGAAGCCATGTTGGATGGGCCCATCCAGGCCAACACTCTGTGTCATACAGTGGCCAAAATCCAAGTGCTACTGAGGAGGTCCACCAGTGAGGTCAGAACTCCAGGAGCCCTCCAACTGTTGCCATCCGAGCACCAAGAATACAGAGCATCACTGCTCCAGACACAGTGTTCCATCTATGCGTTGCGGCTAATAGCCACTGATGGACCTCTGCTCAGTATGTTTTATCCAGTCTCCTTTTGCTGTCCATGCTTGTAGTTGGCACCACTTCCTGCAGCAGTGAATTCCACGTGTTAATTACTCTTTAGGTGAAGAAATGCTTCCTTTTATGTGTTCTAAATCTACTGCTCATCAATTTCATGGAGTGCCCATGAGTTCTTGTAGTGTGAGAGAGGGAGAAAAGTACTTCTTTCTCTGCCTTCTCTATCCCATGCATAATCATGTTGCCCCTCAATTACTGTTTCTCCAAGCTAAAAAATCACTAGCCTCTTTAACCTTTCTTCGTAGGGAAGGTGTTCTATCCCCTTAATCATTTTAGTTGCTCTTCTCTGCACCTTTTCCAAGTCTATAATATCTAATCTGAGGGACAGTGACCCAAACTGTACTGTACACACTATTACAAATGAGGCCGCACCATAGATTTATACAGGGGCACTATGATACTGGCTGATATGTTTTCAGTCCCCTTCCTTACAGACTAACAACTCACAAAAGCATGGGCTGGAATAAGTTATGCTGAAATAAATCCTGTTACTCTTTAAGGTGCCATCAGACCCCCAATTTTATTTTGCTCTGACAGACAAACACAGCTAGCCAACAGGGAATCTGCAAAACCAAAGATACAATCATTTGTCTTGCTGTACAGCTTGAGCCCTGGGAATCAACCCCTAGGTTGGGGCTCACAGCAAGGAAAATTGGAGCAAAGCATCTCACATCAAGAAGGCAGCTGTTTTTAACGGGTCTGGTCACCATTTTTAAGAACGGGGGAGGGAGATGGGGCTGGGGAGACTTTGACCCTTTCTGCACTCTCCTTTAAATCCATGTCTACCGCGGTGGCCTCCAAGCAATTCTGCACTACAATCGAATTCAACCTTCTTTACTTACATCTGCAACTAAGTACAGGTCTACTGTGAAATGGAAACAAGACTCAATGGCACCTTAACATAAGAACATAAGAGAAGCCATGTTGGATGGGCCCATGTAGTCCAACACTCTGTGTCATACAGCAGCCAAAATCCAAGTGCTACTGAGGAGGTCCACCAGTGAGGTCAGAACTCTATAATATCTAATCTGAGGGACAGTGACCCAAACTGTACTGTACACACTATTACAAATGAGGCCGCACCATAGATTTATACAGGGGCACTATGATACTGGCTGATACGTTTTCAGTCCCCTTCCTTATAGACTAACAACTCACAAAAGCATGGGCTGGAATAAGTTATGCTGAAATAAATCCTGTTACTCTTTAAGGTGCCATCAGACCCCCAATTTTATTTTGCTCTGACAGACAAACACAGCTAGCCAACAGGGAATCTGCAAAACCAAAGATACAATCATTTGTCTTGCTGTACAGCTTGAGCCCTGGGAATCAACCCCTAGGTTGGGGCTCACAGCAAGGAAAATCGGAGCAAAGCATCTCACATCAAGAAGGCAGCTGTTTTTAACGGGTCTGGTCACCATTTTTAAGAATGGGGAAGGGAGATGGGGCTGGGGAGACTTTGACCCTTTCTGCACTCTCCTTTAAATCCATGTCTACCGCGGTGGCCTCCAAGCAATTCTGCACTACAATCGAATTCAACCTTCTTTACTTACATCTGCAACTAAGTACAGGTCTACTGTGAAATGGAAACAAGACTCAATGGCACCTTAACATAAGAACATAAGAGAAGCCATGTTGGATGGGCCCATGTAGTCCAACACTCTGTGTCATACAGCAGCCAAAATCCAAGTGCTACTGAGGAGGTCCACCAGTGAGGTCAGAACACTACCCACCCCATTCTGCATTAAAATCAAGTTCAACCTTCTTTTTATACCATCCCCCCCCCCTTCTGCATTACGCTACCTCCCTTCAGTGGTCAGCCCAGTTTCAGCCTGCCGTTGCCCCAAGTTATTTGGATGCTGTTTTGCCATGGACTTAAACTGCCTCAACTCAAACACTGAGAAAACCCGGAGTGGCAGGCAAATACGGAAAGGACCTTTATCAGAAGGGAGGAAATCCCACAGATTGGGAGCAGGATAGAAGAAAGGTTCCAATTCCTATTCTTTGTCCATCATACACACCCCGTTCCCACCTCCATGTCGCTCTTTGCCATAATCTGTATGCGTCCCCTAAATGAGGTAAATCACAGCTTGGAGAGGGGGTGGTCAGGCAGAAATGGCACAGGAAAAAGTTATCCCATGGTCTTGATTCAGCTCAAGACATTCCATCCCTATAATGCACAGGGGGTGAGATGGCGAAGCTCCCCTTCCAGTGTCTCATCTAGCTAGACCCAAAGCACACAAATATGGAGGAGGGAAGAAAGGAAAAGAGCAGGTGGAGCCAGAGAATGCAAACCTGTGTCCCTGCAGCCTGACCATATATGCCAGCGGTCCTCTAATTCTACCCAGGATCAAATGGAAAGCCCTGAAGTAAACGCCAACCTTCATGCTCCCCTGTTCCACAGGAACAACATTTCACTTTGTGTGCACAGACAGCACAAGAGGCTGGAAGGCATTTAAAGCAGAGTACGGCAGCATGTTCCAAATCCCTCCTTGGGACCAGCTTGGTCACAATATCCTGACCTGCCAGAGGGGGTAGGAAGACGCATCAAGCAAGAGTTCATTTCACGCCCTGCAGGAGCACTGACACAAGTCGCTTTGAGGCGGTGTCTGGGGACGAGGGGAGTCAGAGGAAGCGTTCCGTTCAGTGGGAAGCAAAGGAACCGTGGGCTGTTTCATTCAATTGCATTCGAGGAGGGTACCTGCGATGCCAGGCTCCAGAGAGTCACCACAGAGACCGACGCCTGAGAATCTCACAGTCTGTTCAAAGCAAACAACTTGGGCCAGCACTTACCCGGAAGAACGGCGATGTTCATACTGGACATTGTGATCGGTTCGGATGTAATATTTTATTATGATGACCAGCATTAAATAGCAAGCAGCCAAGGTCCCGAGAATACTGAAACATACAAAGAGAGAGAGATTAAGACGTCTGCACCAGGGAAATTCAGCACAGCCCCTGCATTCCAGCCACAAGCATGAGTCATGGAAGGGCCCACACAGGCCATCTAGTCCAACCCCCTGCTCAATGCAGGATCAGCCCAGCAGGGGTGGCCAACCTTGCTTAACGTAAGAGCCACACAGAATAAACATCAGATGTCTGAGAGCCGTAAGACATGAACAAATATTACACACACGATTTTATTGAAAAGCATGCAGATTTCTTTTTTTATGAACATTTATTTATTTATTAAATTTATACCCCGCCCTCCCCCGTAGGGCTCAGGGCGGCTTTTAATTAGACTGTGCAAAAGAGCTGCATGCGGCCCCCGAGCTGCAGTTTGGCCACCCCTGGCCTAGAGCACCCCTGACAAGCGTTTGTCCAGCTGCTGTTCCCTCCACTTTGCAGCTTAAGAACATAAGAAGAGCCCTGCTGCATCAGGCCAATGGTCCATCTACTCCAGCATCTTGTCTCACACAGTGGCCAACTGGTTCCTCTAGAGGTCCAATGACAGGGCACAGTTCACCTGATTTTGCCTCCTGGCTCTGGGATTCAGAGGCTTAGTGCTTCTGAATGTGAAGGTTCCCTTCGGCCACCACTGACAGACCTATCCTTCATGAATCAGTCTAATCCCCCTTTTAAAGCTGTCTATGCCTGTGGCCATCACTATATCTTTTGGCAGCAAATCCCACAGATCATTGTGTAAAGAAGAATTTCCTTTTGTCTCTTCTGACTCTACTCTGCATCAGCTTCATTGGATGCCAGTTATGTTGGAGCACCACTTGGGGAGAGCGAAAGATTTATGAAGGAAGAAGAGATTGGATTTATACCCCGCCCTTCACTACCCAAAGGAGTCTCAGAGCAGTTTACAAACTCCTTTCCCTTCCCCTCCCCACAACAGACACCCTGTGAGGTAGGTGAGGCTGAGAGAGCTCTGACAGAAACTGCCCTTTTTTAAGAATATCTGGGCCAGAACTATGGTTTGCCCAAGGTCATCCAGCAGGTGCAAGTGGAGGAGCGGGGAATCAAACTCGGTTCTCCCAGATTAGAGTCCGCGCACCTAACCACTACACCATACTGTTTCAGGCCACACAACCCTATATACTTGAGCAGCACCGGTATTTTTCATCACCCTACTGGTTGTTCACCCACACCGACTTCGGTATACAACAATTAAACGGGCCTTTGGAAATGTTTATAGTGATGCTGAGCATAAATTGTGTATTTTATAATACAAAACATGCTCTTGGCGTTTTAGAATCCTACTGCATTTCTAAGCGGCAAACTTGAATTCAGTTTTGGCAGTGTTTTACAGCACTGCCATTCAGCAAGACAAACACTGCTTTCAGGCGTAGCCAGTTTCTGCCTTTCGACTAAAGGACAACAGAGGCACAGGCCAAAAGGGCGAGCGGGAATCCTGCATTCTGTTGATGTTTGCACCAGTCTGAGTTTGCACCCTAGGTCTTGGAAGATGTAGCAAAGGTGGGGTTAAGGGTGATCTGGTAGACCTTATTCCCTTGGGTTTCCTAAGTAGGGTTACCAACCTCCAGCTGGGGCCTGGAGTTCTCCCAGAATCTTCAACCTCTCTCTAGACTACAAAGATCAGTTCCCCTGGAGAAAAAGACACCTTTGAAGGTGAACTGTATAAAATTACACCCCTACTGAGCTCCCTCCCCTCTGCAACCCCCACCCTCAGATCTAACTTTCCCAACCCAGAGTCAGCAAGCCTAACCTCACCAAAGGCACCCAAATGATCTTAGCAGTCAGGGGAGAAAGAAGACAGGTCCCCTAGGATTAAGAACTGGTTAAATGACAGGAAGCAGAGAGCAGGAATAAATGGACCATTTGCACAATGAAAAAAAGTGAGCAGTGGAGTGCCACAACCATTGGTATTTGGACAGATGTTATTTAATTTGTTCATAAATTATTTGGAATTGAGGCTGAACAGCATAGCAGCTCAGTTTGCAACCGATACTAAATTATTCAGGCTGACGAGAGGCAAGGTCTATTATTAGAGAACATCTCTCTAAACTGAGTGAGTGGACTACAGTGTGTGGCAAATGAAGTTCAATGTAGATAGGTAAGTGCAAGATGATGCACACTGAAACGAAAACATCTTAACGTCTAAGTTATGCTGACGGGGTTTGAAATGGCCTGACGGAGGAAGAAAGATGGGGGGAGGGGTGTACTGGATATTTTGAAAATACTGACTGGGTACAAGGCAGCAGTGAAAAAGCAAACTCTATGCTGGGGATTGTTAGGAAAGGAACGGGGGGGAGTCAATATTGTAATTCCACTGTATAGACCGATGGTGCAGCCTCATATGGAATACTGAGTACAGTTCAGGTTGCCATGTCTCAAAAATGATACTGCAGAGCTGGAAAAGGTTCAAAGGAGGGCAGCCTAGATGATTAAGGGGTTGGAGCACCTTCCCTATGAAGAACGTCCTAAAGAGACTGAGACTTTTCAGTCCAGAAAAGAAGTTTGGGGGGGGGGAATCAATTATACAGGTGCACATGAGCTTGCCGGTTCTCCACTAGGAATTCCATTTGCAGGTGCATGGAGCCCTATTTGGGTCAGGATCACAGCACACACGGAGAGAACAGTGCTTATGCCTTCCACTTCCTGTATCATTTACTCAGTCCAGAGGAGCCCACCACTTGCTCTATTTGTGTTATGTATTGAGCCTAAGCCATCCCTGAATGTGGACCTTGAACTGGGTGAGCTTGCTCCCCAAGAACAATAGCTGACCAGGATCCTGGAACTGACCTATAGATAAGCAGTGTAATGTAAATAGTCTATCCTTGGGAGTGGATGTGTGTGGGGTGGGGCGTTTGCATGCTTTATATGCAGGGCTCAAACCCTGCTGGGTGTCCTTGTTGTGTTCCTGAAATCACTAAATAAACTAGAGCTGATCACTGCAATGCATCCAGAACACATCTGTGTCCCCCAACCAGTACATTTAGAACACACAACTGGACAAATAACACCCCCAGTTCCCCCAGGAATATGGCATGGGGAGAGCAAACACCTCTGTATTCCACTGTGATCAATTTGTTCACTGTGGTGTCCTGTGTGCCTGGGAATTCAGTTCCCAGTGGAGATGTTGCAAGCTGATTGACAGTCCCCATGGTGGAACCATATGCAACCCAAGGACTATTCGAGTTAGGCAGCAGGAACAGTAGACACAGACTAAATGGCTCTCTGGAAATGTGAATGACTGATTATTCCAAACAGGAGGCTTTTAAATCTAGCAAAGAACCTTGCCCATTCTGAAATCTCTCTGCAGACATCCCCACAGCCACCGCCCAAATCTAAAGCTGTGCACCCCTCCCCTGAGAGTCCAGCTTTGATCAAGAGTCACCCCCTGGCTGGAAAGAGGGCTCTCAGTTTCACATTTTGCCCATTCAGCTCAATTCTTGCCCTCTGAGAATGCAGCTGTGATTGGCAGCTCACCTTGTGTACTTCTGGAATCCAATTTCCCTTGGGACAGAGAGGGGGAAGATAACCAGGATGCACAGCACAGACAAGGTGAAGCGATTGTCCGTGAACCAGTGCTGGTGAGAGGTTCCACCGCTCAAGGTTTCATTCGGATAGAATGAGTCACACACTGGAAAAGGAGGAAAAGGCAAAGTCATCATTAGTCTCCCTGGCTGGTTGCCATTCAGTTTACTCGTGCTTATACCAGTGCTCTACAACGTGGTAATCACGGGCACCGTGGCAACCACTGATGTGTTTCCTGATGCCCACCTCCTTGTCCTTTGAAACATCCCTTCCACAAAGCGGGGAGACCATCCTGGCTTTCCTCCACCTCAACTGGGCAGTAGGTGCTTCAGGAAACCCCATTTTTGGTGGACTGTACACAGCTCCCAACTGGGACAAATAATGCCCCCAGGACTGTTTCATGTTGCCCAGCAGAAATGGGGGGGGGGGTAGATTCGCCCGGCAGAAATGGGGAGAATATCATTCCTGGTGCTCATGCCATTAAAAAAGTCGGCCGCCAATGTGGAATGTGCGCATCTTGGTGATTTTATGTAGATTATTAGAGCACCGATTTTATTATGTATGAAATGTTGTTTTACTGTTTTAAATTTTAAATTCGGCATTGCTGTTTCTTAGCCGCCCGGTAGGGTGGGATATAAATCCCAAAATAAATAAAATAAATAAATAAATGTTGGGGAAATGGGGGGAGGTTGAAGCCACTGCCCCCCACACTCCTGAATTCAGCCCCTTGAGCATTCAGGAAGCTAGGTCTCTAGCAGCTAACGCCTGGCCAGTGGGATGACCATCTAGTCAGGGGGACCAGACCTCACTTGGGAAAAACACATCTCATCAAATTTGGCCCTGCAGCATGGCAAAATGGCTTCTGCGGGCCATGTCTACATGAGATCAAACAAGCCAGGCAATTTTTGGCTACTACAGATTTTTGAGAAGTAAGCCGTTAATACTTCCACCCATGCCAGGGGGAGGTTCTAGGCAACCCTTTCCCCTCATATGCTAGATTTGTTTGTACCAAGAGGGTCCAATCTTTTAACACAAACATCCGATCTCCCCTCTCCTGCCAGAAATGGTACATGACATCCCAGACTGAGCTAACTCACACAAGGCTTCCGCTTCTCGTAAAAGGTGGTGAGTTTTGAAACGATGGATTCTTTCAAGGACAAACCAAGCCTGAGTACCCCGTTTGTTCAGCAGAAGGCACAAAAGTTGCTGAACCAGCTTCATTTGACACCATGTTGGACGCATCAGGTTCCAGCAGCAAGGGAAACAGTTCCTGGGGGCTATTGCCCTTCCTAAGGTTGCCAACCTCCAGGTCACCTCCTGGAATTACAACTGATCTCTAGACTACAGAGATCGGTTCATCTGCAGGAAATGGCTGCGTTGGAGAGTGGACTGTGTGGCATTGTACTCCAATGAGGTCCCACCACTCCCCAGATGCCAGTCTTTTCAGGCTCCACACACACACACCCCCAAGTCTCCAGAAGTTTTCCAACTGAGAGTTGGACAACCCACCCACTGCAGACTTATTAAGGTGCCAGGGAAACCCCACCCACAAGATGGGGTCAAGCGAGGGCACGTTCGGAGCTCTCAAAATCAGTCCCTGCCAATAAGGACAGCTTTCCCCCCCCCCCAGGTCCCTGGAGAAGTGCTGCTGGCATACCTACATGAGATGCCATTCCTGAGTTTGGTCAACAGGTAAGGCCTGGGAGGTCCACGCTCATAACTTAATTCCTAGGCACATGGTGCTGTTTCAGGTGAGAAGGGTCCAACCCAAGTATAGCCTGTGCGTGCCCAGGAACTAAAGTCTAAGAACAGAGGTCCCTAGGGTATATTTGTCGCGTAGACATCAGAACAGCACAGTGTAAAATTTGGCTCAGGAAGACACGATTAGGCTTAGTAGACCAATGGTCTAGCTCTGTACAAGGTCTTCAGCACAGATGAAGCTGTCCGTCTGAGCTAACCCCCGGGGACTCCAAACTGTCAGGGGGTAGCTGTGTCGGTCTGCAGTAGAACAGTTAGACTGGATCTAGGAGTACCAGCGGTCCATTCTGCATCCAGCATTCGCTCCACCTTTTATCAGCACTCGACCTGGTTCTCCCCCGTTTTCATTGCATTGCCTCGGATCCTGGTTTCTGCATTGGCTAGTGCCAGCTTACCATCTCTTTTATCTTCAATGCTCCTGCATACCTCAGTGGTCATTAGCCGTCTGAGCCAAGTAATTCATGGTGGGGTGATAAATACAGAGGGGGAAATAGGGGTGGGGGAAACTGACGGAGATCAGTGAAGCCGTGTCAAGTTGCCTGCTTACTGTTCCCTTCAAATTGGAAGCAGAGGAAAGAAAAGGTCCCTCTCGAAACCACATTCAGATCAGGCCCATCGCTACCATGGGGCATCTCGGGGCTAGGCCCCCTGACTTGCTAGCAAGGCCCCCCTGACTTCCTACCTAGGCCAGGGTGTCACGGCCTTCTTCCCCGGATTAAATTGATTAGCCAGTGCCCCCTAAGAAATTGAAATGCCCCCTGACTTAAAAAATCCTGACTATAGGCCTGATTCAGATACTCTGGGGCAACACCGTACTGTTTGCGAAGTCACCCCTGAACGGCCACAAATCTATGCAGAAGGTACCATAAAACCCAACGAACAAAGAAAGTGAACGCGGCATGCAGTGTGGAGGGAGAGTAACCTCTCGACACGGCTGTGAAAAAATTGTGAGGAAACAGATGGGTGCAGAATCAGCCACAGAGGTCAGCAAGAGTTCCAGGGCACATGCTTTTGAGAATGAAAGCTCCAAAGGAGGAAGGCTGGGCAGCTCCAAAGGGAAGCGTTGACTCTCAAACGTTTATACCCCAAAGCTCTTTTTGGTCTCTTAGGTACTCCTGGATCCAAATCTAATTATTCAAATTGCCAGGGAGAAATCTTTGTGAAATTTAATTTGATTCATTTGTATTCCTTCACTAAGGAGGGGACCCCCCCCCCCATCCCAAGATCGAAAAGGGTACGTTACCGACTGCCAGGAAGATGCCAAAAGGATTTTTGGGGGGTCAAAGGGCTTACATTTTTCTAGCTGGTCACCCATCACTCTGAGAAAAGCCACCGAGATCATGAAGAGGTTCAGAATGAAGCAGGCCTCACAGAGCTTCCCGATGGCCGGCCCGCAGATCTCTCTTACAACACCTTGGTATGTTGTCTGCATGCTTATGGAGGCAGCATAGCCCAGGATCACTAAGCCGCTAATCAGGAATATCAAGGAAACCTACATGAAGACAGAGGGTTGGGATGGACAAGACAATAATTTTAAGCATCCATAACAGGAATGTTAGCACAGGTGGGCAGGCCAGGTTGCCAGCTGGTGGCTGGCATGTGGAGGAAGACTGGGCAGCAGAGGCACGGATGAAGGCATTTCGCTACAGACTCTGGAAATGACATCATGCCATTAATGCAAGAACGCTTTTTGCCTTATTTCTGTCCTGCCGGCTGCCGGCCTACTGATGGGAGCTACCTAGTGCCAAGAAATGTAGGACTGCCTATAGGAGTGGGAGATTTTAACTCCTCCAGTCCTAGACTGATCAAAAGTTCATCAGCTGCTTGATGAATGAAACTGACATTTTATTAAAGGTCATGGTGGTAAACACTGCAATCTTTTTTGCTATTCTATTTGGTTTCTGGCATACTGGAATGGTCACTTGCAAAGTTCTTGAATGTTATGTGCAGCTTTGCATTTTGTTTTCACTGACCAAATTGTCCTGATCCTATTTTTTTTGTTAAAATACTACTACTGTATCCCACACCATCTGTGATTTAAAGTGAGTCTCGTTAGGCTGCTCAGCAAAGCACACACAAAAGGAAGGAAAAGCACATTTTTAATTCACCACGAACAGCCTAGATTTTTGCCAGCCCTGGAGAAAATAAGGGGGCAGGACGCACAGAAGAACTCCCATTTTGCAAGTAAGTCTATACAAGTGAACATCTTTCACCTGAAGGTACCCTCCAGGTCTCTGATGCTAAAATCTAAATCAAATAAAGCCCAAGTAAATACCCACCCCAGCGTCTGATTCAGCCCAAGCAATTGCACTTGGAACACACACAAGCATCTGTTTGGAAGAGGAGTGTCAAGGCTGGAGATTCCCAAAGAGCTACAGATGTCGACATCCAGCTGGAGATAAACACAGATAAGCAAAGGACCTGCATTCTTTACTCTTTTTTCCCCCCATGATGGAACAATCTTGGGCGGCCTCTCTCAAGACTGATCTGGAGCGCACCAGGAAAGGGTGCTAAAAACTCCTAAAAAATGTTCTTCCAAATTCCCATGCTCTCTCCACTGATTTTTTGAAGGGGAGTAAGAAGTGGTGGCTCAGAAGTTAAGATGCTGAGCTGCAGACCGGAAGGTCTGTAGTTTGGCAGTTCAAGACCCAAGTGCCATGTGACAGAGTGAGCTTCCATCTCTGGCCCCAGCTCCTGCCAACCAAGTAGTTCCAAAGCAAGAAATTGCAAGGTACCACTTCGGTGGGAAGGTAACAGTGTTCCGTGCACCTTGGTGATTGGTCATATTGGCCGCATGAACATGGAAACATTTTTGGATAGCACTGGCTCTTTGGTTTGGAAACGGAGATGAGCACCGCCCCCTAGAGTCGGATTCAACTGACTTTCGAGCAAGGGAAACCTTTACCTTTTAAGAAGCAACACTGAATTCCTCTTTCGGACAGCTAAATTAGGGGACAAAGAAGTGTTTGTATTTTTAACCATTACATGTATTAACTCCTCCACATGCAGCCAGCTGGTGTAACCTTGGTTGTTACAAGTTCTTTCAGAGCTGTTCTCTCAAGGGCAGTTTTCTAAAGAGCTCTCTCAACCCCACCTGCCTCACAGGGTGTCTGTTGTGGGGAGGGGAAGGAAAGGAGATTGTAAACCGTTCTGAGGCTCTTTCGGGTAGTGAAAGGCAGGGTATAAATCCAATATCATCTTCTTCTTCTAAGCAGGGCCGACTCTTGCAAGTATTTGGAAGGGCGACCTCCAAGGAATACCAGAGGTGGGACACAGAGGCATGCTAATCAAGCCACCTCTCTGAAAAACATCCAAGCCCCCAGTAGGGGTTTCCAGAAGTCAACCATGACTTCCAGGCAAGCACACAAAAAGCCACAAACACACTCACACAAATAAAAATTAAAAAGACAAGTGATACGGTCCCAGTGACCCACTCCAGTCAACCTTTGGGCAGCAGCATTTTACACCACTGGAATTTTCTCAGCACTGATCAAGGGCAACCCTATGTAGAATGTATAACAGCAATTTAACCTAGATGGAACCAAGACATGCACTACAAGGGCCAGGGAAGGCTGGCCAGGAAAGGCTGCCCTGGAAAGACTGCAGCTGGCTAAGCAGTCAAAGCTGCTAAAAGGCACTCCCAGTCATTGCTACCACCTGCTTATCCAGCTGTTGGTCTGGGTCCACGGGCAGTGCAGAAGGAGTGATGCCTCAAGTCCCTGGGTCAGATTTTCTGCTCAACAGTAGCACTTATCCTTGCTGTTGTGCTACGCTTCTAATTTCCTGACCCCAAAATCAGAATTGTGGGGCTTTATTCAAGTTTTGCACCAATAGGTCCAAATTAGTAAAGGTAAAGGTTCCCTTGCTCGAAAGCTAGTCGAATCCGACTCTAGGGTTGCGGTGCTCATCTCCGTTTCAAAGCCGAAGAGCCAGCGCTGTCCGAAGACGTTTCCGTGGTCATGTGGCCGGCATGACTAAACACCAAGGCGCACGGAACGCTGTTACCTTTCCACCGAAGTGGTACCTATTTATCTACTTGCAATTTCTTGCTGTCGAACTGCTAGGTTGGCAGGAGCTGGAACTAGAGACAGGAGCTCACCCCGTCTTGTGGCACCCGGGTCTTGAACTGCTGAACTACTGACCTTCCACAGCCTGCAGTTCAGCGTCTTATGAGCCACCGCAGCTCCAGAGGTCCAAATTACCAAGAGAAAAAAAAAAGCACACACTATTCCTAGAGCAAGAAAACAGAGGACCGTGCTGTCGAGTGGAGAAGCCAGAACGGAAAAATGTCTTACCACAGAAAAGTGTTTGGAAATAGCTTTACTGAAAATGTAGACAAAAGAACTTGTCTATCCACTCAAAATATAATTAACGGCCCCACTTAGATTATGGGTTTAATTAAGTGCCACAACTAGGAGGCATATTTGGCAGGAGAGAAGCAGCAACATTTTTAGTTGCAGTTCTCTTGCTCAGCATGCATAGTGTTATCTCATTTCTCGGTGGCCTGGGAGGGCATTGCTGGGGAAGAGGCTTATCAAGTCCCAGCTGGTGGCAGGAAACTGGGAGGGGGGGGTTGTTGGCAGTGTCCCAATGCACTAACATCACCCCCTGTGCACCCAGAGGTGACATCAGCACATCATCAGGGGACGTCCTGGCATTTGGGCAAAATGAGGGGGCCCCCAGCAAGGTAAGCCTCCTGCTGGTTGCCAGAGGGACCTGACAACCCTACAGTGAAATAAGCCAGGATTGAATCAAGATGGTTATGTTCATCCATCATGCAATACTGAACTGACACCGTGGTTAACCAACCAAATTCAGATCCTGGTTTGATGGGCCCTAGCCAGGGCTTTTTTTGTAGAAAAAGCCCAGCAGGAACTCATTAGCATAACAGGCCACACCCAACAGCAGAAACAATTAGTATATTAGGCCACACCCCTGACAGCACAGCTTATTAGTGCATTAGGCCACACCCCCATGCCTTCCCTTGGCTTGCCTGGGTGCCCCGCAGCTGCAGGGAGCCCGGGCAAGCCAGCCCTTGGACAGGTCAGGGAAGGCTTGGGGAGCCATTTAAATGCCTCCCCGATCCTTCCAGGGGGGCCCTGGCCGCCCGCCATGAAGTCGCCAGGGGGGTCACTCTCCAGGCCTTCCCTCTGTAGCCACGCACGCAGATGTTTTGGCTGTAGTGGGCGTGGCCAACTCTGAAGCCAGCCGGAACTCCGTTCCTGCGCACCTGCCCAAAAATAGCCCTGGCCCTAGCTAACCATAGTCAGTGGAGTTGCCAGCATTCAGACACACAATCACAATAACCATCATGTGTTTTAATTAAACCACGGTTTAATGTCTGAGGGGGTCAATTCACACAATAAGAAATACTTGCCACTGCCAAAGGTTTTCCGTGAGACGTGAGAAGGGAATTCTGTACTTCCCGGATGCACTTGGAGGATTCCAACTGCAACTCTGGCAGAAGCGGGCTTCAGATTTCCTAGTTTCCACGGCATCACTTTGTGTCCTGAAACAGCCCCAGAGAGCCACTATTTGCATACCTTTCCCACCAGAGCAAATAGCAGTTCCCCAGGACTGTTTCAGGGCATGAAAATGTCATGGGAAATGGAAGGGAAGGCAAAAGCCCCTTCTCCCCACCGTGAGGACTTTGTAATGTGTAGATTGGCCCTCACTCAAGCCAGCTGACAAATATTCGGGTGCTCAACGAATTTTCCCAACAGCAGAGTTTGCAGAGGAAAACGGGGAGTGCTTGAGTTGTTCCCCAATGAGATAAAGCCACAAAATAATTGTAAATAGATGGCAACCGGAGGCTGAGAAGAGAAACATTCATCTTCCCTGCTTAGCCCACATACTCAAGCAAAACAAAGCCTGAAGATTCAGTTTTTACACCCAGACCTACAGCTCATTCCTTTGCAAGTTCACACAGAAAGAAACATAGCTGCATTTGTCACAATCAGTGATCATCACAATCAGTCTGCATAATCTTTCCCTTTCTCCTCCCTCTTCAGTTGTTAACGTCTCACATTCACTATGCGGAAAATTCTGACAATAAGCAATTTAGAGCCGGAACCAGGATTGCCAACTCCTGGCTGGGAAATTCGTAGGAGATTTGGGGGTGGACCCTGGGGAGGGCAGGGTTCGGGAAAGGGAGGGGCCTAAGAAGGGTATAATGCCACTGAGTCCACCCTCTGAAGCAGCCATTTTCTCCAGGGGACCTGTCCTCTGTCCTCTGGGGATCTGTTGTAATTCCAGGAGATCTCCAGGCCCATTTGGGGGTTGGGAACCCTAGCTGGAACTTATCTTTTTTGTTTGGCATGTTACAGTGTCACAGAGTCACTGACTGTGCCATGCCAACAACATGCAAGAGTCATGCTTTGCATGACTATAGTGAACCTGCTTAGTTAGGAAATCTTTCCAAGACAGAGATGATAAAAAAAAGAAAAGAACCGAAGGAGCAGAAGGTTGCAAAGCCATCATAAAGGTAAAGGTTCCCTTACTCGAAAGCCAGTCGAATCTGACTCTAGGGTTGCGGTGCTCATCTCTGTTTCCAAGCCGAAGAGCCAGCGCTGTCCGAAGACGTTTCCGTGGTCATGTGGCCAGCATGACTAAACACCAAGGCGCCCGGAACGCTGTTACCTTCCCACCGAAGTGGTACCTATTTATCTACTTGCAATTTCTTGCTTTCGAACTGCTAGGTTGGCAGGAGCTGGAACTAGAGAGGGGAGCTCACTCCGTCCTGCGGCACCCGGGTCTCGAACTGCTGAACTACTGACCTTCCACAGCCTGCAGTTCAGCATCTTAACCACTTGAGCCACCGCAGCTCCCAAAGCCATCATAAGCATGATCAAAAGGCTGCCAATTCAGGCCACCTCTGTTGTGGACTCATCAGCAGAAGGGCTTACTGTCTCCCTCCCTCCTGTGCACAAAGATAAGCTACAAACCACAGTTTCATCCCAAGAGTCCATAAATTAAAACCTTTTTCATCCTGATCTTCAAGAAACTCAAGGCAGAATACATGTGGTTCTCCTGTCCCCTCACAGACCCCTTCCAGAGGAGGACACTTTCCTGTGGTTTCCCCACCAGAGGAAGCACAGGGACAACAGAGCTTCTGTGTGGTAGGTTCCCCCACAGCTTCCCTGACCCAGTCTCTGGAGAGGCCATTCCTCCCCCCCAGCTCACCACATGGGGGGGGGGACTTGTTAAAAAAACACATAGTTGACATATACAGCTACCAGCATTTTGAAATTTATAATGACTGGTTTTTACAAAACATTTTTTTAAAAAAATCCGGTAGTATGGAGTGTGTATGAGGGGAAATGGCTACTGTGGGTACTAGGGGCAGGGAACATGGCACTGATGTGGGCGGGACTGGAAGCATCTGGACTTTGCTGCCCACAGAGCAGCTGCCCCCAGCTTTGTTCTAATCTTTCCCAAAAAATATTGCGGCCACGCAGATTTGAGAAAGACTGCAAAAGGAGACTGAACACCTGGGAGGTGCGTGAAGTCGCTGCGGGGCTGTGGGGGAAGAAGGAGAAAAAGCAGCTTCCCGGTAGCATCGCATCCTGTCCTAACCTGCCTCAGAGTGTTGTTGTGAGGATAAAATGGAGGAGAAGAGAGTGACGTAAGCCACTTTGGGTCCCCATTGAGAAGTGTGGAGTAAAAAGGAATAAACACAGAAAAGTCAGAAAGAACCACAACAGTTCCATGGAAGACCGAAAAAGTAAATTGGAAGGACATTCTGATATTGTCCACTTTAGTACAGGGAAGGTGAAAATAACTTAAAAAGGGAAGAGTTTAAGAAAGCCAGACATAATCACACGGGAATCAACAGGCCTACATAAATGGTCTTTCTGTTACCACACTTTTGTTTGAGCTACAACCCTCAGCCACATTCAAGTTCAGGGTGTCATTTGCACCAGGGCTCCCCAACTCGGCACCTACAACTGTTTCACTGCCGCAAAGTTCTCCTGAGCAAGTACACAGCACATCACCCTTGCCAGTGAACCTACTGTAAACAGGGAAGAATGAGAAAGTGGTGTTTCCAGACAGAACACAGTTTCTCATCTCATTTCCACCCCGCCCCCCATGTTTTCTCATTTTCTACAAATAGAGCCTTGCTTTAAAAATAGGAAGTAAACAAAGTGGCCATCTATGGGACTTCCATCTGCGTAAGCAGAGCGAGGGCTGGGTACTCTCCATCCTCCCAGACAGGTCACTCCACACAAGACCTAGAAGGGATTCTTTGGGCACTTACCAGCTCCACGAGGACAGCCGGGGTGATTCCTCCAGCCTTATTGAAAGCC